TACAAAATTAATAGTTCACAGAATYRGGAATTGYTGGGGWTGGAATGRACCTCTGRAGATCAGCCAGTGCAAACCCCTGCYAAGGCAGGCTCACCTGGAGCAGGTTACACAGCAGCGTGTCCAGGTGGGTTAAACTGTTGTGCTTGGAAGAAGAAAATCTTCCTCCACTTTCTCCATTTAAAATCCTTTCTCAGAAGGCAGGAAGACCCAACAGAGACCTTGGAAAAATGATTCATGATATGAACTACTCTACAATATAGAAATGCCATGGTATTACACCCAGTTTTGGTCCTGCTACAATGGGACCCACAGCTCAGAGTCACCTGGCCCCAGACATTGCAYGACAGGTCCCTGTCATTGCCCTCTGAAAAGTGGGAAATCCATGAGCTTTTGGGTATGTTGCAGTAACTATGATGGCTCAAACAGAACTGGAAGTCAATCAGATTTGTCTTCCCAGTCACCTGAAGGCTTTCAAATATTCCGCTTGAGATACAAGGAGAGAAAAAAGAGAGGAAAGCACAGCCTTGGAACCTCTGAGGAATRATTTGTGTAGGGTTGGTAGGACTGTGACAAAATGTGCTGGTCAGTGCCAGCCAGGAGAGCTGCTTCCCTCCCCAATTGCTGATACCACCAAAAATCCAGTCAGGAACTACYCCTCCTCCCTCAAGCATTTCCCATCAAAAACGACAGCGAGATGCTGATAAAGATGGTGCTTTAACACCYTCAGCTTGTGGCCAGCAGTCTGGCATCTCTGGTGATGCTCAGCTCGGGCTGAGACAAACAGGAGGCCCATGCCAAGATGCTTTGCAGTCAGTGGCCTGTTGCCAGAGTGTCATTTTTCACAGAAGGGACACAATACCAGGCAATCTGGCTGAGAATGAATAAAAATGTCATCTGCGTTCGCTCCACTTCAAGGGCTCGTGYGGTATTGTTCTCCTCATGTGCAATAAAATTCCAATTGATCCAGGAGACAGATCAAAAGATGCTTCTCGGGGACCTATTGGTCAGTCTTCCAACCTTGACAAGGAATTCGCATCAAACCATTACATTTTATAGCAGTGATTAAAAAGGGTTCATTTTTTTTCATGAGCTGGGGCTGGTTTATTTTTTGCCTACTGGAAATTTGTCTCTTCTTTCACCCAGCAAAAAAGCACAAGACTGAGACAATGAGACAGCATGGAAAAGAAATACGCCTAGCAGAAATAGCAAACCACCAGATCTGCACATTGCTGGAGATACAAAAGGAAAGATGATTGAGAAAAGGCTGCAAAGCCAAAAAAGCACTGACAAGATTTATCTGCCATCTGCGAAAAAGAAAGGAGCAAACAGAAATAAACACACGCGTGAGGAGGCAAGAGGAATGAACAGGGGTTTATTATCGTGGGGGACCTTTCAGTGACTGAACTTGAAAGACTTTGCTGAAACAGACTTTGTGTAATTTSTGTCCTCAGTGTCTGTATCTGCACAGTGAGGCAGCCTCAGCYTGGGCCCTACCCCAGTAAAAGCACACAAGAGGTACCCAAGGAGCACAAGGATTGTGGCCAGTTTGGAATTTTTTTCCCTAGAGAGAGGTCTCCCTGTTTTTCTGCCCCTTTCCACATCAYCTGCATGTGCTGGAAGGGCATAAAGCTGGGATAGACAATTGTGCAAGGTAAAGAGGATGCTTTTCTCTTTTGACCTTGTTAGACTGAACTCACCCCTTCTTGGGAATTGTTCAGGCTCCTCATCTCCTAAAGACAGCCATGGGTATTGGAGGTATAGAGTAACATRCAGAAAATCCCTGACAAATGGGCTGTGCCAGCTGGTACTAATGGGAAACAGTAGCAGGGAGCTGGGAAAAGGGTAAAGCTCCCTTTGCCATCTCAGTGCATTCCTGCCAACAGCTCCTGATACGATCTGATCCTAAACACACCCCTCAAGACTACATTTYCATGCTTGGAGAGAGATGAGGAACAGCTGACATGTCTCTGTGAGCCACCATAATGAAGAAACTGTAGAATAACAGATAAAGCAATACAGAAACTGGCAGCAGAGGAGAGTATGCACTCCTCACCTATTCCTGAGCAGGGAACAGAAGCAATGGATATTTAAAATAAGGAGCTTTTTCTCATTTCCCATGAGACAGTTCTCCATCCTCCTTAGTTAGTCAAACATGAGCAATTAAAATTTGTGTCTCAAAAAATAATAATAATTTCAGAGAATCTCAAAGGAGACCTCTGTATTTTCAAATATGAAGAACGACCCAAAGTATCTACGCTCCATAAGCCAACCCTGAACACGACTTGTTAACCCCTGACTCCAAAAAATCACCARCAGAGGTTTTYTCACCTSCCACAGCCATTAGGATTCTCATCCYAATCCATGTGAGTGGAGCTGCAGAGAAGATACCCCAGAAGAAGATACCCCAGAGAAGATACCACACTCAGCTTTCTCTGTGAGCTGAGGATTTACCTGGCTCCAGCTTGGGAGAGGAGCAGCAGAGCTGGGTTCAGCATCCAAGGTGCGCTGTACGCGCTGTACACGTGATGCATCACTTAAACAGGGGCTGCACAAAGAAGTTACCATAAAGTTTCCATTCCAAAGCACTAAAATCTTACATTTGCTTATTAAATTTCATTTGGGGSCCCAGGCAATTGAACAGAACACCGGTCTAGCTACTGAGTTTTGCTTTACTTACTGCTGCTGACATGCAGCCATAACTCACAACGAGAAATCACAAAGCCTGGGACTCCAATCTTGGCTGACCATCCCTTCCACCTCTGGCTGTCGTGGTAAAGCTGACAGCACATTGCAGGTTGGGCTTTTACTCTTTTTTTTTTTTTTTTTTTTTTTTTTTTTTTTTTTTTTCTTTCTTTCATTTTAAGAGCATTCTGGGAGTGTGGAACAAAAGAAGAATGGCAAATCCTCTGTTTAAGAGCCCTTGATTCAAAGACCAGTTGTGACAATGGCAGGATTCTCAGGTATTTTGTTGGTGTTTAAGAACAACCCAAGGAGTCCAGTTGGAAAGCCAATACCCTCAGGGGTCTGCTGGGGATCTCTGCTCTCCCCTGCTCGCTGGTGATCTCAAATGGCTGCAAATACAGAGGGGTGGGAGGATCAAGAGTGGAGAAATCCCCCAGCAGCATCGCTGAGTTGTGCGTGCAGGGAGCTGGGTGCAGCTTTAGGGGTCTGAGGTGATAAAAMCTGTGGCAGTTGTGGTTCCTACTCTTTAATAATCATTTTGATTGTACATAGTTTAAACCCCTTACCCTATGTGGTGTTTCTATAATGCTCAGCACAGCAAGGAAGGATGAATTCTCTAGAAAGTTCTACAAAAATCTGATGCCCCATAAGCTAGGCTTCAGGAGCTCAAGGAATTGCCAGCACTAAGTGCTCCAAATTTGTCAGGTCTCAGAAAGGCTTGAAATTGGCTTGGAAATCCTGAAAAATTATTAAGAAATATAGAAGATTTTTTGTGCTTTTTTGATTTTGGAGCCTTAAACATAATAACCACGTCATGTTTTAAACTCTCTTTCACCACACCATGARGACTAGAAACGTGTATGTTTGCACYTCTCTAGAGAATCAGTGTGYTGGGGTWTATWTTKGGGATAMTAAAAAGAAGAGCTCCAAGAAATASCACAATTACAACTGCTCAGGCTTTAGGAGGAAATTTCTGGAAAGGTTCACAACAATCCCACCAGGCTTTTTACTTCCATATTCTTCCTCCAAGACCAAGTCTCTCGCATCTGGATCTCCTTCCCTCAGGCAGCACAAGAGAAAAGGGGTTAAACAGTGGCAATCAGAGACCAGCAACCTTGGAAAATATGTAGTAAACAAYTGGGGTAGAAACACCACTCAGCTGTCATTGCAATCCTCCTAAATCATATTGGATAATTGATATATTAACAATTCTTCGGTATTAGCTAATCCCAAAGGTTTATTCTCCAGAAACAGCCTGACTCAAATACACAACAGGAGTGGCACGTGCTGGAATTCAGCAGGAATGGAGCAAAAAGCCACAGCATGAGCTCAACTCTGCTGCTGGGATGCACACATGCTAAAAAAGTGAAGCATGGGGTTAAACATTTTACTGGATTGAGACCAGATGAATTCTGTAGTCAGTTTATTGTTATCATTATTACGATCATCATTACTAMTGAGCAGGGAAGAGTCCATCTTAAAGCAGGATAATCTTTTTCAAAATAATCTTTTCAAGCAATTTATCCAGAATATGGCAGAGTTTACACTTCTAAAGCTAATGATTCAAGAGGGCAAGACTGGTGACTATCTGATTGGTTATGAAAAGCTGAGCAGGTTTGATGACTTCTCTGGTTTTGATAATCTACAGCACCTTAAAAMCACCAAATGATGGAGCAGAATGTGCAACAAGTAAACACTGGCAGGAATATTTGAATACACAGAGCAGAAGAAGGAGGGGAGTTTAGGCATTCCTGTCTTGTTTGTTTTCAAACACAGTGTTCCTGCTGTAAAGAGATGGTTAAGAGCAGATGTTGACGTTCAAAACCCTTCTTTTTATTTAAAGTACTAATAGTGAATAACATTACAACAGATGAGAGGATAGTGCTCCTCCAGAGAGATTTATTCTTCACTTTTTTTCAAACCGACGGGCATTTCAGATGTTCAGGAGCTGTGACCGTAACACATCTGTATTTTTATTTAAT